GTAGACGTTATTTTAATACTGGTACAAGAGCCACTGGACCGGCTCAATCTTCTCAATATTCTTATATTGGAAATTCTTCAAATGCTGCGAATACTATGTTAGTTGATATTTTACGAGCGTTCGGCTATATATCAGCAGGGTGATTAATTTAGCATCTTTTAATTTTAGATATTTATACAATACTCCGGAAGCACAAATGCGTAAACTAGCCGATTATGCCTTTATGCTCAGAGATTACCGTCCTGCTCATTCGGTTTATGATACCGTCAAAAAAGACTTTTTAGCTGATAAAGCATGGAAATATTATGCTGGTGCACAAGTGAATATTTATAATATTTATTAATTAGTCGTTAAATATCATCGCAGATAATAATTTATTTTTTGTTATAAAAGGAAATGGTTGGAGTTTGTTTGTTAATTGCTGGAAATAAATTAGAAGTCGATCACTATTTTGAGCAGGCGGTTAATGCTTATCTTAACCGCTCTAAAGTCCCGTTTTACGCAACTAGGGCGACACTATTGTATTACGAATTGTTAAAACACAAAAAATTGTACAAAGATGCGCCAACTGCACTTGTGCGGTTGACTGGAGATGTAAGATGTTAATTTTTATTTATGTTATTGGTACTTGATAACTTGAGATTTTATAAATAAATGTACATTTATACAGGACTCTGACTTGAGAAGCGCGCTGTTCTTAGAGCAGGCTGCTCATGCTTTTTTGAGATGTTCTAAACCTATGGTCAGAAAATATGCTTTTCATTTGATGCTAGCGGGTCACCGATATGGAAAATGTGGCCAGGTAAAAAAAAAAAAAAAAAAAAAAAAAAATATATATATATATATATATATATATATAGTATTGTGTTTTCATAAATGAATCAATGTTTGCTTATGCTTTTTAATCTTTTGATTTATTCAAAGAGGGAACATGCGTATAGATGTTATCTTGACGCTATGCATGTTTTTGAAAACCACTCATGGACTTTAATTGAAGATCACGTTTATTTTGCACTTGGTAGACAGTCTGTCCATTTAGGTGATCTTTCAGCTGCTCTGGAGTTTTTTATAAAATTATTGAGGGCGAGTCGTCAACCACCAACACAACAAAATGCTTATTTGAGAGAATTTATGTATATTTATAAGGTAATTAAATTGACCTCGTGCTGATAATATAACAATAAATATTAACTTGCTACTATCCTGTTTTATCCTCTTTCTAAGCAATATGAAAGTAAAACTGGAAAATATCCTTATTTTGATCAAGAGCTTCCAATTCCGGTGATCGATGATTCATCTGTCAAAGTTATTCTTTCTAATTTGCAATCTAGTGAATATGATGAGATTTGGGATGTAATGGAACGAGAATTTTTGGAAGAAGGGTTTACAGGATTAGATATTTATGGAAACCCACGGAAAAAGCCAAATACTTTAAATAGCGATATTCACAGGACCGTATGTGCTGTTGGAGGTATGAACTATTGCATCTATTACTACAGCGATATCTTATTTATTCATATGCTATTTTTATTTTTTTATATATATAATTTGTAGAGCCTTTTTTTGTTCAGCTGACTCTTTATAATCCCATGCAAATTGCGTTCAATATAAATGATTTGATTCTTGAGTGTGAATATATCCCATTACCGGGTTCCAGCGAGAATCTTACAGAGTTAGATAAGGACATAGATAACGAAACGACTACACCATACAATGATATGATTGACAATAGAGAACCTCAATTAATGAAGTTCGAAGATTTTGACCTGGAAACACTTAAAGAAGTGTCTCTCGAAGGCCTAGAAAAAAAAATGGTACAAAACTGTTATATTTTTTCTAAGTAGTATTGAAAACTCAATAGTGACATGGAATAATAATGAATTGTTACTAGATTTCTTTGTGTGTATTACCGAAAAAACAAGGTTCAATCAAAATTTTGGGTCTTAGGTATATTCTTAACTCAATTGTCCACGGAGTAAAGAAATTTTCGAAGCGTGGAAAACGCCTCAATGATACTAATGAGCAACGCATGAGTATTGTCTATGCCCCTGATCGATCACTAGATCTTTTGGTTACATCACCAATGCCATTGCTTGAGGCAACATTCCACTCTTTCCCCGAAGTTCTTCTTTCTGGAGAAGTAAAACAAGTTCTTTTGGAAATCAACAATAAAGGGCAGAAGGGACTTACGGACTTACGTGTGAAAATGAGTCATCCTAGTTTTTTTT